ATATATATATATACCGCCGCCCAGTTAGCCCAATGGATACTGCGATGGACTGTTGTGCGGGAGGTCGAGGGTTCGAGCCCCGGCCGGACCAACACTCAAAGTCTTAAAATAATTGAGAAGAATTTGCTACCTTTCTATAACATCAAGAAGTGGTTAGATATTCTAGTCTTCTCGGATAGGGACGAATAAATGGAGGTCCCGTCTCCTGCAGGGCTGGGGTGGGAGACGTTAATTTCTCACACACATCCTGGGGTGGGACGTACAGGCCCACATTTAAACCAGCTTCAAGCTAAACTGGGCTTGCCTGTCTAAATATCGTAAATATCGTAAATACAAAAAAAGTAGCCTACACTTGCAATTCCATCTCTTATGACCATGCAATGGTGAAGAGGGCTGACAGTAAGCTAGTTTCCCAAAAACATGAACTCATTAGCTAGGGAAAAGGTTATGATAATAAACAAAATAATTGACCAATTGATATTAGCTACTTAAGGACTCTCCCTTCCCTTAGCAAATGCTAAATGATGGGCCCAGAAGTAATTGTAGCTATTCGATTTTTCCTTCATTATCTCGTCTGTATGTCTAGTTTAATTCCAGGATCTTACTTGGGAAGGACTGCAATTATGGTAGAAATTGGCTACCTGATGTCAAATGATAACAGGAAAGGAGTGCTAATGAGTTAGATCAGGCGAGATCTCTCTTAAAAAGGATCTTTATAGCTCTGTAAAGCACATTTTAGGTTTTAGTGATGGTTGAAGATGGCAACTTCCCTTAAAACACCTCTGACGTGTCTTACCATTATAGCAAGTGATGAGTGTTTTCTCTCTGTAAACAGTACAAAGATGATTACATTTGTAACGATAAAGACTCCATAGACAACTATCGACACGGAAGTTCCTAATTTCTTACTTTTCGTATTGTGACAAATCTGTTTCTATTTTTTTACATTCTGTCGCCGATGGCCTCTTGCCTGGATCCGGACTGCAACAAGATATCATAACCTTGGTCCACTCTACTGGAGGGGCGAAGGTGCCGTCTCTTCCAGGGGGTTTGGCCAGATAATCTCCGATCTTTTTCGGATGAGGGATTCCTTTACTTTTTGAGATAAGGTCGGAGAATATTGATTGACCATACCACATTTCCCACATCATGACGCCAAAGCTGAAAATATCCGCTTTGCAGCCGTAGGGGTTGCCTTCTCTCACCTCTGGCGCCATGTGAAGCGGAGTCCCACATCGGGTTCCTGTGATCAAGCTTTCAGACTTCGCCCAACCCAGGTCTGCAATCTTGACGAAATTGTCTTTTGAGATCTGTATTTTAAATTTGCAGGAAGAAATATTAGTTTTGAATGTGCTAATATACTTTTCCTTGGCCCAAGTAAAAGTATATTAGCACATTTAAAATTTAGGTAACTGAGTTTACAGGAAGGTTCTAAGTGCTTCTATAAACAGGAAATACTATTTTGAAACGTCATCACGTTTCATTTGCTATTCAGATCTCCTAGGAGCTCGCGCTTTTTTTGTGCGTCCGTTGCCCCAGCTTTCCTCTGTGACCCACTTGAGAGCGTTGGGTCATGTCATAACTGATCGACTGGTCAGTGATATCTCAAAAAGCTTGAGACTGTAAAAGAGCTTGTAGAAAATGCATAAAAGCCACAAAAGCCTATAACATGGTAACATGGTAACATAACGAAAGAGTAACACGGATTACATTCAGCAACCTGTAGAAACTTTAGCACGAGTTTTTACAAGTTCACCTTAGATTGTATGTAAACGGCCTATGCGCTGAAAAAACCGAAACGGAAATTACTCGTTATTTTGTAAGAAATAAACTTTTTACTTAAGAATCATAACCTACTATTTTCACATCGCAGCAAGCCAACTCTCCTCCACAAGTAGTTGTAAAACTATTTGATGAATCCTCAAACGGGGTGAAGCTTTGAAGACTAAGTGATACCACCTTAGCAGCCAAGCATGTGCCAACTGCCTTTGCTCATCTTAACCTTATTGAATGAAAACTAGGGCAGTAGCAAACTTAGACAAAAACAAACAAATAAACAAACAAACAGACACTAACAGTCTGTCACTTTCAGGTAACACGAGGTTAAATATCATTATATCGAAGCAAACGAGGCTATTGCCTCTTTCTATTCATTTTTGCCAGTTTGAGAGAGACAGGTGTAATTTCAGTATACAGCCTTTGAACGTGTCATTTTAAATTGAATGAAACAACGGCATCTTATTCAGAGTTGAGAAATGATGCATATCGTAATTTATGCGTTAACTAACCAGCATGCTGGACAGCTTAATATCTCGATGAACGATGCCAATACTGTGAAGAAATTCCAACCCTTGTAAGATGTGCAAAGTATATTGAAGTATGTGGACTGCTGCATCTTCCGTCATCCAAGGAATGAATCTTTTTTCTTTAAAGATTCGATCCTTTAGACTTGAGACACACAATTCGAGAATAAGATCCACTGAAATCAGCTGGCCATCTTGGACATTCATGGATACTCCATGGAAAGTCACAATGTTTTGATGTGCCACTCTCCTGTTTGATATGAAAGGAAACAGTTAAGCTTCCAAAATTGCAATTTTAAAAACTTTCTTTTGTAACTTAACTAAAAAAATACGATATAAGATAACCTGTTATACCGGCGTCAGAATCTTAGGTGAAAACATTTTAAGGTTTCAGTTTACTATGTGCCTCTTTCTTCTCTCCCAAATGTACTTGAACGACAAGCGATATATTTCATGTGAATTTGTGTGGCATTTTCATCAATGTAACGCAGACACTAACCAAACTTTAAAACTATGGTAAATCAGGAGTCACTCAGTCTGCTCCTTCATCTGATTGACTTTCTTACTTTTTGTATGTTTAGCTAACTAGATACTCATACGTACGTTAAGATTCCTGCTTCTTCAAGGAAGAAAGCAATATTTCGTGGGTGATGCTCTTCTTGTAGTCGTTTCACAGCAACACTCTTTCCGTTAAGAGTACCCTTGTAGATTATGGCCGAGCGTCCTCTTCTCAGAACGTTCTCTTCATTACAAGATAGCTTTTTCCCATCGATTTGGCCTGTCGGGTACATCACAGGTACTCCGTTTTGGATGGCATCAAACAGAAGGTTTTGGTTCATCGACTGCAATTTCCAGTACAGATCGACCACAACCTGCTCTTCCAAGGTTTCTCCGTCACTTAATTTATTTGCTTTATCAGCTTTCCTTTTGAGAGCTTCACTTTGCCTTTGGTATCTAGTGATGATCTCTGAGTGGCATCTCTTTATTTGGGAAATTTGATTTTTTTCGTTGGTTAATTCGTTTCGGACATACTTTCGTAGATCGTCTTTGATGAAGGACTCGATAAACTGCAGGGATAGTTCCTTTAAGACTTGACAAGGTTCGTTCCTGAGCTGCTGTTCTTTGAGATACCTGTCGACGGCCATGTAACCGAACACGGGTGCAAAGAGAGCTCCTGCAGCTAGACCGACAGGAATCAACACTGGTATAAATACTACACCTGCTGCCACAAATATCTTCTTCATTTTTGCATAGGAAGGCAAACGGCCCCTCGCAGGAAGCCACTCAGGGGGACAGAACTCATCATCCGAATCTTCAAGAACACGGTCAATGTCATCGATACCTTTTTGCAAATCAGAGAAATATCGAGCAAATTTGCTCTCCAAGTTTGCACGAGCTTTTTCGAAAAGCTTTTCTCTTTTCTCCAATGTTTGAAGCACAGAGTCTAATCGTCGATCGATACATCTGCCTAGTTCGTCTTTGATGTGTTGGGCGCTATGACGATGACCAATTGGAGGCAATTCCGTTTCGGACCATTCGCAGAAAGTTTTCCGGACGTCTTCAGTCCTTAAGTGAGACGTAAGCTTTTTACACAGGTCTTCAACGTGGTAAGAAATAGTGTCTTCAATTTCTTGGATGTGGGAGCCTTGCTTAAGCTTCTTTAATATCACTTTTAGCTCATCCCTTGCCTTGAGGCATTCCTTTCTATCCCTTTGGGTACGTTTCATTTCTACTTTAGCGTGATGAAATAGCCAGGTGAGCTGGCCGCTTATCCAGCTGTTGATTTGAAAATAAAGTAAATTCCGTGTTTAATAAACTGTATGTTATCAACACAAGGGCTCTTCTCATTCTCTTTGCTCTTCGTCACTTTCTGGGAAAAGGAATAATACAATAGTACAATAATACAATAGTACAATTATAACAAAAATGAAGGGAAAGAAGTTATCGTCTTTGCTTTCTTTTGTCAGGAGAGGAACCCTGGTTTCAGTTTTGAGTTGCAAAGAGTAATATTTAACAATAAATCCTCAAAATGGAAGTGAATAGTGGTGGAGTTTTACCAAACTGCAACGTTGAGAGATAAATATCTACCACTTTCCCCGACACTAAGGTGAATAACTGATGTACTGTATACGATGCAGATGCCGAATAATTTTTTATTTCTGTTAATTTCCCTAAAATTATCAGAAATTAAACTGTTGACGTACAGTTGTCTTTTCAGCTGCCCGGGGGGAATAGCACTTGCTATTCACATCCGAACCGGCGAATCAGCGCCTACTATTTATTGTAGTTTACTTGTCTTTTTCCTCCCACAATATATACTTCGCTCTACTTCTATGTATTGAGCACTGTTCTACGAAAATCAAGTCACACTTTTATATATATATATATAACCAAATAACCCTTCTATTCGGTTATTCGCTGGACAAGGAGAGCTTGTTCGGAACAATTTCAGATATATAT